ACTACTACTACTACTACTACTACGGGCCCGTGCAGTATTATAAGTAAACATGTTTGTAAACTAAGTGACTACTTCAGCTCCACCCTCCCCAAACTGACATGTCTGGCACAAAAAAAGACAACTCTGCCCAAGTACCCATACGTCTGGGGGCCAACCAAGACCTCTCTCCTGCCGAGCGGCAACGCGGAGCAGCAGCAACAGCGGCTCCGCCTGCAGCTCGCTGCTCAGCTGTGATGTCGCTCACCAAAATGGACAGAAGAAGTGAAGTTGTGAAGGGTGACCTGACTGGTCTGGTCAAAGTAGCACTAGAAGGTGGTCCCCAAATAGATAGGATTGCACGGTGTCCAATACATGTTCTACGTGGGGATCTACAAACTTCCATCTATGTAGGGGTCTATATAGAAGGTTCTAGGATGTTGAATGGCTGAATGTGATAAGAAGCTAGAGCTATGGTGGTCAAAGTAGGAAAAAGCTAGGACTGAACTAAACTCAACTCCGTACACATCAAAATTGAAGTGGAACCTCCACACGCTTTGCCAAGGACAAGTATGATGTCTGCAGTGCTGAAGAGCCCAGGGATCGAAACGATGAATAAAAGGGTGGCCTCAGGTCCTTCGAGAGTGAAGCAGGGCCTTCAGAGGCTGGGTAAGCTTCACATTCCTCCCAAATACGGTTTTTGCTCTTTCTATTGACTGCAGGTAAGTGAACCCTTGGTTTTGGAACTGGGATTGATCCCTGGTGAAATATGCAAAAACTCTTCAGGGCAAAGCTTCTCTTCTGGCCTCTCCATATGGGTTCATATGTGTTTAATACAGAAAAAACCTCAGTGGCCCAATGCCACCCGGGTAGACCGGCCGATGGAAGGTCCTTCGAACCCAGGGAGCCCCATCTCTTGAGCGTCTCACAGACCAAAGCGGTGGATGTTCGCATCACTTGGGAGGACTCACTGAGACATCGGGATGTCGTGTCCTTTCAGGTCCTGAGCTGAGCTCCAAGCACCCTCTGAGTTCAAGAGTTCTTGTTCGCTCATGCACCACACTTCCCGAACTGGTGGTGGATGGTCACGTCCAGGTGCAGAGACCATGAGTCGACACTCGTGGCTCAGCTGGGCCTCCCCACCATGGCACCATGGGGGCGATTCAGCGGCCGGAGCGAAGGCTGGAGCTTCACATCGCCGAGAGGCTTGGGGATTGTTTGTGGTAGGGGTCTTCCCACTCGCTGAAGCTAGGCACAGTTTGGGTTAGCTCGATTCAGCTTCTTGGCAGAAAGATGGACATGTTCCGAGCTTCTTAGCTTGTGGTCTTCCCACTGGTTGGGCTGTCGTTTGGCTGAAATATGCACCTGTGTAGATGTGACAGGCCTTTGGAAGTGTCATGAATTCCCCTCCCAAGCAGGGGAAGCCGGTTCCGGCTGCTAAGCTCCATCCTCCCAACACGAGCTGCAAGCAAGGCACTTAGTATGGTAAGACCTTGGGAGTCGACTGACCAAGTTTGACCATCCTTAATAAAAGATAGTTGTTTGTTAAAGACCGTTAAATCAATGGTGGATCGCAACCTAAGGCCGGCGGCCTTTTCTGTGTGACTTCGAAACTCTTTAGCAGGTCTTGCAGGTCTCAAGTCGCATTTTTCTTTGTGACCTGCAGGTCTCAAGTCGCGGTGGTCAGGTGGTAACCCCACCGAAAACCCCCCAGCTGCACGACCTGGGGTCCGAAAAAAAGGGGACCTCAACGCATTAGTCGAGTTCCAAAGATGCCCCGAGGTCTTTTCGGCTTCTTCCAAACCACGGCGAACGGCGGCGAACCGGATCGGGGCCGACTGCTGCTAGATCGGCCATTCCTCGACGTCCGAGATGTTCACCGATTTGAAGTACAGGAAACTCCTTTCCTAGGATCCACCCTTGACTCGGATCGTGATAGTAGTCTTGATCTCCCAGGGTTCGCTCCCTGGGAGTCAAAGCAGACTATCAAAAGAATGGTCTTTAGTATTTAGGTGACCCGAGTCAAGGAAGATGCTTTACTTCAGTGGGGCAAAAATATAGTCTTTGGACTTCTAGGGTATATATATATATATATAAGTATTGTCTGCTTCTCACTCACCAGCCCATCTGCTGTCAAAGGCAATCCCCCCAAAGTCTCATCTCCCTTCACCTCGTCCCCAAGTCATTCCCTTTCGGTCACGAATCGCGTTGGGTGATGACCCCTCCAACAAGTCACGAATGGCCCTTCCCATGAGGTGATGTGTCTCATTTGAAACATCAAAGAAGAAAACACCCCCACACCTTCCCCTTTCAGAACAGGGACGCACCACATCCGAAAAAAAGAAGCCGCACCACCGACATGACCCTGCACCCGCCCCCGAACACGAAACCCACCGCCGGCTTGACCCCAGCGGCCTCTTGCAAGGTGCCCGGCGCGATGGCCGAGGCCGCATACCTCGGAGAGGGACTGGGCAGTCCGAGCTCGGCCGGGAACCACCGGGGTCTCATGGGCCTGGAGCATCTGACCCTCTGGGTGTGGAAGGGAGATCCTGTGGTGGGTCATCCCCAGGTGACCCAGAGGATGTGTCTTGGGTCAAAAGATCCCAGTATACCATGGGAGTGTCTGCCATTCGCTTCAGGGCAGTCGACCTCCCGAACGGGCTCCGAACCACCCCGGCCCATCAGCGCTCTTCGACCCCGCCAGACGGCGCCCTGCGCGGCGCCCTGCGCGGCGCCCCGCGAGGTCTAGGGATTGACCCACCTGTCTTCAACTAACCCCGGTCCGGCCCGTTTCTCGGGAGTGATCTCGGCCGTTGGGCGAGGCGCTGGCTCCGTCCGCTTTCTCCATCCAGTTTGGGAGGGAAACGACGGGACGGACGGAAAGATCGGGGGGGAGGGAGGATCTTCCAGAATCTTTCAGGGGTTCCTTGGAGACATGCAAACAGTAGCAGTGTATCAATGAAGAAGCACTTCTTCGTTGAAACTGAGCAACGTATGCTTCCGGAACAGTCTTCGGGGTCTTGGATCGGAAGGGCGACCAACACAACGGAAGGGTGGTCGCGGGGCGGAGCCATTCCGGGCATTTCCGGGTTCGGAGCATTTCCGGAGCGGTCGGACCCACGCATTTCGGCGAAGAAGTAAGGTCCTCTCTCCCCCCTGCGTTGCAGAGGTCAGGTCCATGGATTCGGGTTAGATGAGAAATGAAAGTCTGGCATGAAGAAGTCACAGGCGAACAGCCTGAAGGCCATCAGATGAATTTCAGAGGCCCACCCTTCAATGGTCCATTTGTTGGAATCACTAAAACCAATTTCGGAGATTGTCGAACGAGCATAGGGACATTTGAACAGTAGAGACCAAAGGCTCATTTGGACATGCTTGGTTTTAGTGGGAGTCAGTCAGTCAGCCAGTCAGTCAGTCAGTGAATAGTAGCTCCCTTTTCCGCCTGCCCCCATGCAGGATGTGCTCAGTGAGCCTCACCACCAATCTTAAAATTCAAATCCAGTGCTGGTGAACAGGCTGGTGAAGAGAGCACAGCCGCAGCAGCACTTAGAGGCTTACACAGCTGCATCACAAGAGACCATGGAAGTGTTGTGCTAGCCTCCTTTCTACAGCCAGTACTCTTTTGGGGGGGGTCCAAATAGCTCGAAGTCCCAAGACAGGGGGTGCCAAAACCGGTTTGCTCCAGTCTTTTGGGCGTTGCTTCAAGAAAACGACCCCATCCACAGTCTGGAGGAAGTCGGCTTTCCCATCATCCACAGGACGACAGTGACGAGAAGAACCACCCCCCTTCCAGGGCCCAAGGGTGGGAACTCCTCCAGGCAGATCCATATCCCGAGAGTTTCGCTTCCGTGAAGACGAATTTAAAAATGGTTGACCGTCGAGCTGTTGTCGTGATGAAATCCTTATAGTAGAGCTATGGTTGTTCAGGAAAGCCCATTTAAATTCATGGTGGTTGGAATCCCATTCGAGTTCTGCGGTTTCATGATCCAGATATCCCCTGTTTTGGTGGGAAGATCGACCGGAATTGGAAGGATTATCAAGTTCGTTCGTGCGCCCTAGTCCCACCTCCTCCAAAGGTACCGACCTCCTGGCACAACCACCGAGTTTCGGAGGATTCGGCGTCCGGAGCCCGATCACCGTGCAGTCATCCCCAAAGATCAAGAGTTGCTTCCCTTGGGAGTCAAGGGAGCTTGGTGGGCTAATGTTCAGGAACTAATCTAAGAACAAGCTCTAGGTTCATCAAGGTTCATTTAAGTCATCTATAGTAATCTGGGTGTTCATCAAGGTTTCATACCAGCACCTTCCAAGTTCAGTGCTTTCTGGACACCTCTTAACCTCCTCTTTACGCGGCTATCTGTAGTCTTTGATTTCACCACCCCCCTAGGTCTGTAGAGGTGGACCACAAGGACATGGAGGGAGGGGGGAGGTGAAATTCATCAGTGACTCCCCGAGTTTCCAATTGAAAAAAAAAAGGTTCACCTTTTCCCCATCGGTTCATAGTTGCTGGGGACACTCCGGGGACACCCCTCCCCATCAAGGTTACAGTTCAAGGCTATCCACTGACTGGTGGAGAGATCATGAGTCAACATGACGATGAGACCTTACGCGCGAGCTCGATGGCTCATCCACCATCTTTGCACTATGACCGTCTGCCGGAGCTCCTGTTCTGATCCATGCTCCTGTTGAAGCGATGGGAAGAACTTTCAACCAGCGCCGTTGGAAAAGCTTGCACCCATCAACTCGAAGAACTAGTCTCAGGTCCCTTCTGATGCCTGCTCAGGCCCCGCCTCGCGGCCCAAAACTGCCCCCCCCACCAGCTCACAGGCCTGTCACCTCAATCCACGCAGCCCCTCCATGAGTCTTCGCGGTAAATCGCTGAGACGTTGGAGGATGCAAGGGGGTCCCAGGAGGACGCAGGAGGGACCAAAGACTGGATCGATGAGGAGTTAGTTCTAGGACGACCACATTGACACCCTTCCCCCCCCTGCCAGAAACCAGTGGAGAAGACCCTCAGAATCTGAGCTGTCGCTTCTGACAGAGCTGTGGTCCCGACGTGGGCGTGTTGTTGCGTGTTGTGGCGAGCTTCTCCAGGACCTTCCAAGTTCAAGTTCGGTGGTTTTGGACACACCCTACATAGACACCTCAAAGGGAAGGTCCTGGCTATCAGATGCGTAATTCATGGTAATTTGCATGAGCCGTTGGTCTGCACAATCTTCTTTTTCCAGAGGGTTTGTTTCAGGAGGTGTGTTCCCGGTTTGCTTCGGGGGCACTTGTATGCCAGGCCGAGAAACAACGAGCCTTGCCACAATATGCCGCAATATCAAAAGAGCCTTGCCCAAAAAGAGCCTCGTCCATCTCAAAGCTGTTGCTTCTGTTGTTTCGTCCTCTGTACCCCTGTGGTCGTGGTGTGGCCACCGTGCTCATCGAAAATGGCATGGCAGACGTCGTCGTCGTCCATCTCGGGTCTCCCGAGAGGAGTTGACTCTCTGCGTGCGCCACGGGGTGGCAGAGGAGCAGGCTCCTGAAAATTGACGAAGGTTAAGCCACTTCGCCACTTCGAAAGCACGTGTCTCACGTGTCCCTGGGGAGAGTCCGTCAGGTTGGTCGGACATCGTCTATGCGAAGAAAACGAAGGGAACACCAAGGGGTCTACCACCGAAACCCAAGGATCTTGCTTGAGACACGCCTAGGAATTCAGATCCCGGAGCCGAACCCTAAGCAAGTTTCTGGAACAAAATCGGTACACTCTGACGAACACATCACATGGTCATGTGGATGGCATGGCCTCTTGGAAGACGACTTTCCTCTACCAAACAGTGGGTTTCTCCACTTCCATGTGTAGTGAGTCGGAGTTGTGGGGCTCAAACGTTGGGGTATGAAACCACCCAAACCCACCAAGAGAGGTGAAGTGACCGTAAATAGGACCCGTCACCTGGGGTACCTATCGGATAGTCGAATTAGGGTCCCTCAACCTCTGTTGGCACTTGTTGAAGGCAAAACAACTGGAACCTGCAGGGCCCTAGATCCTATCAAAAACCTGCGCCAGCGTTGCTTTTCTCGAAAAGCTCAATTTCAGAATAGGACGTCCGTGACTCCTTGAGTCCAACCAATGACCGTGACCAATCCAGATTCATCTACCAGGACCTTCAAAGTGACCTTTTGAGATCCTAGAATGAGGTCACTTAGTCCCTAAAGAGGTCACTTAGAGACTCCAAAGAGGTCACTTTGAAGGTCCAGGTACAGATTGATCTACAGGTACTGAGGGTCGAGACCAGTGGAGAGTCTGAATCCTGGACATCGGTTGTTCCAACTATCTCTGGGTTCGGATCTGGGCTCAGCAGATGAGCGCAGCGCCCGGATAAAGTTATAAAGCCCGGATAAAGCACTGCTGGACCTCACCTGCTGTAGTTCAGCGCTGGTGGCTCCACTGTCTGGGTATTCCCAGAAGCGACTCCATTTTGAAATCCAGCGGTGAAACCACCCACCTGCTGCATATCCCAAGCAGGTGGCATCTCTCACAGTGGTGCTTAGGCCACGCAAGAGAGGCAAAACGAGGCAATCGAGGATCAGGGTGAGACTTTCTGCCACCAACTGCTGTACCTACAGTGACTTCGTCAATATGCACCCTCAAAGAAGGACATGCGTTGCTTTACATGCTATCCCGGTACTCCAAACCAGTTGGCTCACTGGGAGCGGCGGTGGACGTGAGGTGACCATTGTTGGAAAACTATAACAAGGCTAGATACCCGCACCTTTACACCACCAAGGGACCTCCAGCCAGGACACCCCTTGAAGGTCCAGGTATATACCCACCTTAAGCTCCACGGCTTCATGCAGCGGCTCCTACAGCCGGTTCTTGGTGGTCAGATGTGGAAATACGGAGGTTCCATGAGTGAGGTTTTCAGTGAACGTCTCTTCTTGCTTCCAAACAACTTGAGATGAAAGGAAGATGAAGCTCTGCAAGTTGACCAAAGACTGGGTAATCTCCAGTCCCGGCCAACTCATCCCACGGATCCTACCCCACCGAGCTCCCGGGGACCGTTGAAGCCCGTTATGGAGCCCCCCCGGTGACGCGGTGAGGCCTCGCGCGATCGCCTCACGGACGGGGTGGGTGGAGTCTCCAAAAGGGCCGACGGTCGAGAAAACGGTCTTTCAACGGCACTGTCTCCGGAGCATTGAGCCCTTTTTGGGGTCGTGGAGCGCCCCACCAGTGCCCCCAGGGCGGTCACAAGGTTGGTCAAACGAACTCCAACCGTGGGACCCTCTGCGACTCCGCCGGGCGGTCGCTATCTGCAACGTCCCGGCAACCCGCACAGTTCGTGCCGTTGGTCGGTCCAGTTCCACCGGACCCCAAGGGCGAAGGACGGAAACGAGGACCGTTCAAGCGCGTGGCAGAGAAGTGGAGAGTGAGCATGGAACGCCCGCGAGCTGGGTGGTGTGCCCAGGAGTCCACCT